GTTGGTTGTTTGGTTGTCGGTGGTTGCGTTGTTATGTGTTCTGTTGTTGGTTTGATGGTGGTTGTTAAATGTGCAGTTGTTTTTGGCGGGGCAGTAGTAGGTTTTTTGAACATCGTATAATTTGCCCTGAATCCAGTGCTGTTGTTTTCTTCGTCTGATCTAAAAACGAACATCACACCTCTTGTTGCTGTGATGGTGAAGGGTGACTTTTGGCCAAAGAATGCTTGCTTTGATTTAAGAATCCTGCTATTATTTTCGTATAGCTGTAAACAGTCTTTATCGTACTCGTACAAAGAGAAGTTCGTAAAGCGAACATGTAGGGTGTGATTATCAGGGACCATGATCCTCCACGAGCAGAGCTGTCCATCCGGGTATTCACCAGGGAAGCCAGGGGACTGGAAAACACCTGTCGTGTTTGTCAGAGTGTAGTTGCAACCTAAAATTAAGCAATAAGCAATAAAGAAGTACATAAGTAAGTAAATAAGCAATAACCAAAGCGAAAAGAATCAATGCAAACACTGTGAAATACTTTCAATAGATGGTTTGCACTATCACGTGACGGCAGCCATATTAGATGTAAGGAACAATACAATCGTCTTATACGAGAAAAAATTCAATTCCTTAAAGCAAAGGATTTTGTTGTTCTGGCATCTAACCACAGGCAGCGCAAGCTGTATTATGGGCGCTGGCACGTGATGGTGCAAAGTCTCTATAGCCGTTGGAATGAATGTTCGATGGATCTCGATTAATTTTTTTTGTTCGGGCTGATTCTTCGTACTTACTTTTATAATAACAGTAATACATCTTTAATTCGTTCCATCGATTGTAGAATTTAAGTTCAAGGTGTGGTATTTCACCATACTGGTAGTTATAATTATATGTGTATTCCTTTATCCATTCAGTTGTTGCTACCATCCATTTGACTTGTTGACAGTCACGTGACCCATAAGGCAGCAGATAAAATGGTTTGGTTATCGGTAACGAGATTGGAATCTTTTTGTTACCACTTGTTTGACAGGCAAAATACAAATCTCTAGATCTGTAAGAACTTTCAAGGAAGCTGTCGATGCCCATTTGATAAGCAATGTTTATACTTTGGTGGTCATGTGAATAAATGTATCCCTCCTGCATATTTGTGATCGGGTGCTTGCCGTATATACAGTATTTTCCTATGAAAAGAAAATGATCTTCAACATTATGTCGTTATTCTTGCCTCAAGCAGAGTATACGATATTCCTGGCTGGGTTTTTGGCCTTCTGTATGCATTACTTATATGACTGATCAAGTTCAGTATGTCATCAGTTGCGTCTCGTACATCACAAAATGCAGTAACTGGTCATCAACCGGCCCAGGACATCATTTTTGTCACTCTCCGTTTTACTGATATATATCAATAAGACCATACTTCCCTAAAACTACATTGATAACTACGAACTGGTCTTTTTATGGAATAGAAAATGAAAGAGAAATCTCAGGAAAATACCTTTTCTCATTTGGTAAAGTCCCGCTGTACAAATTCACCTTGAAGAAATAGAAAACGCGCGCGCGTGCTGTGTGCTGTCATAAAGCACGCGGGGGTTGGCAGAACACGAAAGAAGTGTTAGGAGAAGCACGACGCGTAGCGGAGTGATTCTCGACACTTCTCGAGTGTTCTGCCAACCCCCAAGTGCTTTATGACTGCACACAGCACAGCAAGCAAGTTTTTTATTTTTTTTATAAAATACAAATTACAATAATAGATAGGAATGACGCAACGGAAAGTGCACGCGCGTGCAATGTGCTCTCATAAAGCACGCGCTCCAAACCAATCAGAACGCGACATTCATAACAGTCATTTTATAATTAGTGTTAAGGAATGATCAATGCTTAGCGTGCGCATATCCAGTTCTGGATGCAAGAGATTTTTGGGAGGTTGTTAAACACGAAAGAAGCGTAAGAGCCGCGTAATTCTAGCTGCTTGAGTGCTTATAAGCAACCTCCCAAGTGCATCCAGAACTAGATATACGCACAACTAAGCATTGAACATTGCTTTTATAAGATTCAAATTGGTCTCCATATTTCGATTGGGTGTATAATACAATATGCAATTTTCTAAATATACCTATACTAAAATGAATATATACCTTTCGGCCAAGTTGGACGGTTAACCGATGGGTTTATTGTACTGATACAATAATATATCCTGACTTTTCTTGGTTGGACATACCCAGCCATGTGCAGATCATCTGATTTGTTGTTGCTGGTACGTCCTTGTGTTGTTTCTTGGTACGTCCATCCATTTTCTTTCCATCTATTTTTTTCCCATTCTTCAGGACACCCTGTCTTAGGTTTGGGAAGTCCGTAAATTCCTCCAGGCCACCTTATTGAAGCTGAATAAAATTAATATAATTTAATATAATTATACAGTAAACACCCGCACAAAAAACCCGTGATTTTCTGTGACAGGCTGAATGGTGATGTGATGCGTAGTGAGAAATCAGCGTGACGATGTTCTTAATAAGAGGTTCTTAAAATTATTTCTAATATGGTGTAGTTTTTACTGAAAGTGCCTATGACCCCTAACTCAATGTTTTCAGCATTGATTCTACATGAAGTTAAAAGTCAAATAGTAAAATATTATTATATGATTTGAGTGATGCATCTTGGAGATATCAACTTTTATACTTCCAGTACATGCTAATAAGTGTGATGTAATAGGAGGCATTATTAAATATACGAAAATTTACTGGGGTAGTAAAATATCCTGTATAAAAGATTATTGTCTTACTCAGGGTTTATGGAAAGGTTATTGCAAATTTGTTTCCTCATAGTAATCAGTGTTTTGATTTTAAAATGATGACAAATAAACCTAAATGCCTACTATGACATCACACATGAAAATACGCTTTGCAAACTAAGGGTAAAATTTTTTTAAATATCTGAGAACCCGAAAAATGTAGTTTGCAAAACGTTCCTGTTCGCATATTAGAACGCGTTTCCCTATTCATATTTTAGCTTAAAATAATCTTTCCTTTACCACATTCCAAAAACAGATCTTCTCTAGTTTGCTTTATTTTTATGCGCGAGCGCCTTTCCAGACCTACCATTTTCACCTCGGATTTAGGCTGAATTGAGGGCGCCGACGGCCAAAATCGATTTTCACAATTTTCTCAAAATAAAAGTGAAATTATTCAAAATGAACATCAGTACGTTTATTTAGGTGGTATTCCACATTTCTGGGCCAAATATGAACGGAATCCATTTTTTTAACGTGACCACCTGATGTTTATTTTTTACAGACATTGCCTCAAATGTATCGTTAAAAAAACATTTCCATTTTTTAGACGGTTTAAGATGTTTTTCGAGAAATGAAAAAAAGTAAAAACCCTGAATGAGAAAGTAGTTCTAGTAATTAACGTTTTATTGGCCTTATATATATATATATATATATATATATATCTTTTCGAATGAAATAGTATCATACTTACCAGTAATATCTCCTGGTTGGTGAAGAAGGAGAAGAACGACGGAGTACCAAACAACCAACATCATATCACACCGACTAAGTATTTACCATGCGCGACGGGAAACTTATTTGTGTTTTCTTTGCCAAGTCAGCTTCAGACTGACTGATGTTTTGAGGCTTTCGATATTACTTCCGAGTCATAACCCCAACACACGATCCTGTACATCTGTTTGGAGGGTTGGGTGGGGAGGGTCATAAAGACACCTTTATAGTACTTCGTCATTCAAATCCCTTAATTATTAGACCGTTAGAGAAAGAAATACAGTGCTCAAAGAAGGTTTCAAAATCTAAATAATATTTTGGCCTTTATTTTAAAATGATACCAAAGCTATTTATTATTACCCCACCCCCTCTACCTAGGGATCTAAAAGAAGCAAGATAAATTTAATTCAAATATTTGATTTATTTGCGACACCATGCAAAGCCTAGCTTAATCATTTTCGCTTTCATCTTGCTACAACGTCACTGATATTTTGATAATCAACAGCAGTGACGCTGCGGGAATGTTAGTCCTTCGTCGAACTCGAGTAAAAAGAGCTTTAAAAAGAAACGGTTGTCTTTCATTACGGATTAATTCGGATAATGAAAGCGTTTCTTTTTCGTGCGAGGATTTGATTTCAGCTTGTTTTTAATCCCTGATAAACTACGCAAGCGTTTCGCGTTGGGACTTTCACTTTCGATTATTCGTTCGAAACAAACAACGAAAAATTATGATTCATCTACGACTTCATTTACAAAATAACTATTAAACGTTGATATTTAACATCTATGAAACGTTTTTTTTTTTCTATTTCTTTTGCTCCCTCGTATAGCTATTTTAAAGCCTTATTTACAAGATACAAATAAATCATGACTAGCTTGATAACTGTGTATCTTATCATTAGAAGGTTTGTTTGTATACATCTAATTGAAAAAACGTAGTCGGGTTCGAGAAGGTCATATCATCGAAGCTAAGACCGAAAAGGATTTTGGGTACTCTGAAATGTGTATTATATTTGTATATAGACATGTAAAAATGTACAGTAGAGCAAAGTCGGTCGACCTCTATTAACAACATGCCAAAGCCATGCATAAAATGTGCACAGGAAGGGAAAACTGCAATACGCATGAAATTAGCATAATTGTTTGTCTTCCCATGCTCCCCTTCGGTCTTAGCTTTGATGATATAACCTTTTTTTGAACCCGACAACGATTTTTCAATTAAGTGTATATAAATGAGTTCAAACCATTTTACTCGGTGACGGTCATGGGTTGCTCTTTCAGTGCTAGCCTATCTTTTTCAGTACAGCATTGGTTTCTCAAAACAATTTTCTGGCTGTTACAGGCAACAGTTGATTCAAGCTACACTATAAAGAATAGCTAGGACGAAGCAAAAAGTTAGAAAGCAATTAAAAATTTTCATTTGTACAATAAGTAAATAAGTAAGAGTTAATTACCGAGAACGGAGGCAATAAGCCATATACATCCCGAGGGCCGCAGGCCCAAGGGATGTATAGGCTTATTGCCGACGTTTGAGGTAATTAAGTATTTTATTTATTAATTGAGAAGATTTTCTATCAAATGTTGCTCATTATAAATGCGAAGTCTATATGTAGTGTTTAAAAAACGAGGAGTGTTTTATCAGGTTTAAAAGCACAAGGCGAAGCCGAGTGGTTTTAGACCTGATAAAACACGATCTACGATTTTTTTTAACTGCTTCAAAAACTCATGAACAATTTATAAGATTTTGGTTCAACTGGAGCCACCATACACGTCACGAACATGGACTTTTATACATCGATAGCAGTTCGTATGTACCTGTCATGCGCAGTTGAGGTTTATACGTCACTATCATGTGCAGTCATTCCCAATAAAGGCTCCCACACTTTAAAGACAGCATGCTAGTCTTAAGACAGGATTGCTAGTCAGTTAGATTTCGAGTGTCGTCGGTGATCGTATGTGAGACAGTCCTTGATGAGGCTCTAAGTCTTCATCTAAATTGGATATACCTTTTTATTATATAATTACCAATGAAATATCTATTTTTCTCTATTTCGAAAATTTGATATCTTCACACGTGAAAATAACATGTTATTTTCACGTGTGAAAATAACACCATTGCGATGGCTATTCAAAAATACAAGGAAAGAATTGCCTGAAAAAGCCATAACATACTTCATTGATAATTATATAATAAACAGAATATTACATGGCCGCTTGGAGATACGAAATTTATCTTCTCGTGTTGAAAATCTCTCACTCGTTCGCTGCGCTCACTTGTGAGAGATCTTTTTCAACACTCGAAGATAAATGTCGTATCTCCGCGCGCCCATGTAATATCCTCTATATCTCTGATAAAGTCATCCTATAAAGTTCTTTATCGGATATAAAGGTCCATGCACGTGACGTGTGTAGTGGCTCCAATTGGACCAAATCGTCTTTATTAGTATTCTTTATATAAAGAATGCTAATGAAGAGGACTTTTCGGGTATAAGTCCATGCACGTGACGTGTATGGTGGCTCCAATTGGACCATAAGATAATGAATTATTCATCAGTTTTTGAAATAGTTATTAGAGAGTTTTAGATTGACTTTTTTTCTTCCCGCAAACGGCAAACGTGACCACGTTTTCATCGTTTTCTTGTATTTTACTTTACCTCTTGCAAACTTTCATTTCACAAACAAATATACTTTTGTTTTTCTACTACTTGGATTTTTTTGCGATTCCTTTTCAGTTATTTAAAAGAATTTTTCACTGATCAACTGACGTTACACGTTTGCCGTGAACGTCAATCTAAAAATCCCTATCAACAGGGTTAATAACTATATATTGACCTCGCATTTATAATGAGGGTTATAACAAAAATAAAGCCTTGTGAATAACAAAGAAAACCGTGTCAATTGAGAAATAATAATAAGTACTAGGTATCAATGTATCTTTTGAATGCCTTTATTTCAATAGGGTAGCCCTTACGTGACCGTGTTTGCGTCGTGTTCATG